GTGTATGTGTGTGTGTGTGTGTGTGTGTGTGTGTGTGTGTGTGTGGGTTTGCATAGATCACATCTGAGGACGAAATCGTCCCCAAAGTGTAGTAAAACCTCAAATTTACCTACTTTTACGTCTCTATTTGGATAACCTCAGTTTTATAAAAAATCTGTGAATGCAATCAAAAAAGTAAAAATGCCAAAAGTCTTGTATTTGGGTTGGTTACTTATGGCTAAGGTTAGGGATGGGTAGAGGTTAAGGGTGTCGGGATTGGGATTAGGGTTATTCCCATAGAAATGAATGGACGGTCCCCATTTAGATAGACCAACTTGTGTGTGTGTGTGTGTGTGTGTGTAGGAGAGAACTAGCCTTTTGACATCCTCATCTAAATCTATAGATATGTTTTTGATTTTTAATTTGTCCGGTAATTAACCAGCATCACTGAGAATCTGCTCTGTGTTCTGAATCTGCCCTCTCTCTCCTGTCTATTCACACACTGTCATTCCTCCTTAATGTGTTCTTCCGAGCCCCAGTTAATCCCTGCTGTTTGTAGTGTCGGTTGTTACCCGTCCTGTCACCTCGAGAAGTGACATCTCGGGTCGCTCTGCGCTTCCTCACAGCTCCCGCTTTTTCTCTGTGTGTCGTGATTTGATGTTTTATTCACCACAGCTGCAGTACTTTTCCATGCTGGATTGCAACACCCCATCCTGCCATTTTGTCCACCTCACCCCTTGTGCACGCCGCAATCTTCATAACCTGCAATTAGTGTTTCTGCCAGGAGACTAGTGAACCAGCCCTGATCATTAGTACCCAGCAGCGGGAAGCTGACACGTCCAAGGTCAGTCACGTTTCCAGGTCCTGAGCTGAACCCTCCATCTCGGACACAAGTAGAGGCTGTTCTACAGCGTTAAGGTGGAGATGCATTCCCTGACAACCCCCCTGCCCCGAGCGGGAGAGGAAAGGTGGAGGATGGGCTTAACTGCTCCCCCCAAGGTCACTCAGAGCTCGTCATCAGACCTCCAGGTGGAATTAAGGGCTCGTTAGCTGGCAGTGGCATGGAACATCTGGCACATGGTTTTCCAGCCTGTTTTGGGCCACAAAGCTGCGAGAAGCAGAGGCCGGGCCATGGCTCAACTTGGCAGAGGCTCGCCCTGCACGTACGGAAGGCCAGCCTTGGTGTTTCCCTCTGCGGATGCAGCTGCAGGCTGAGCACTTCATCATACCTAACAGCCCATGGTCTCGTTACGCTGTTAGCTATTAGCCGTTAGCTTTTAGGCAATAGCTATTAGCCGTTAGCTTTCACCCATTAACTATTAGCCATTAACTTTTAGCTATTATTATTAGTTAGCATGTACTTCAGAGTTCATCATCAGACTTCCACGTAGAACAGTGTTCATTTTGCTGCCTTGTAGCAAGTGTCAGAGTGCTGGTGCGAGTCTCCCCCCTAAAACACATGTCACAGGGAGCACAGCGTGTCACGTGGTGAGTGGCTGCGTGCGTGAGGTGCTGATTTCAGAGCTGTGCTGATAAGCCACGGGAGTCTCGCGTGTGACCGTGGGTGTCCCCGTGCATGTCCCCGTGCATGTCCCCATGCGTCCTTGTTCATGACATCAGCAGAATATCACATGGTACAGACATCCGGTGACCATGCTTGGGCACATCAATCTAGTGTGTAGAAGTTTAGGAAAAGGAGAGCAAAGCCAGCCAACCCCGGCGTTTCCTCCCAGAATCCCCAGTGCCTGTATTGTTCTTGGAGGCCTTGGCCATTTGGGATCCCGTCCGGTTGGACGGCTTGTGTTGTGCGCGGGATCCAGAAGCAGTAGGACAGGTATATTTGTCAGAGCGCCTGTGATGTATTAGGGATGCGGGGCTATCGGAGCAAGTAGACTGATCACATTTCCAGATGCACCCGGATTTACGGCTCAGTGTCCCACTCAACATCTGTTAACCTCTTCGCTGTCCTGCCGCAGCTGTGAGGAGCCACTCCTCAGCCATGGGGAACAGTTGCTGGGGAGGGGTCTCTGCCGAATGGTCAGACAGCACTTAATCTCGATGCTTTGCTCTGTGTCACAGTGTCGTTGTTCACCACCTGGAACCCTGCAAGGTCTCCCACCCTGAGCGAGCTCATAGCAGTTAGCGTCCAGCAGTAGCACTTCTGCTAATATGAACTAACTACTGAGACAAGCTCTCCTGAGCCTGTCATCTGTTCTGGCTGCTACTGCTCCCCACACCCTGATCCTAACCCTCAGAGGATTATTCCTGTGGTTCCTGCTGTCATTCATTCGTTCGGTGCACGCCGCCCGCCAGCTCGAGTTGAGAAGAGATTGTGTGAAGAGCTCGACGAGCGCGCCATCTGCACCGGGCTGCGTGGCCCCCGGCGTACACGGGCAACTGCAGGAGAGGTTGAGGTTTTGTTCCTTTACGCCGACATCATTCATCCAGTGGCAGAGGAAGTTCAGCCTCTTACTCGCCCTAAATACCAGTGAGATTATTACATCATAATAAAGGCTTCCGGCATGAAAACACTGTCAGTCTGCAGTTAGCCTGCTGTGGCTAGCACACAGAAGAAGGTCTGAGCTGTAGTGCAGGTAGACATACAGTCCTGGGTTATCTGTAAAATGATGGCCTAATAAAAATGGTGTGTGACTCAGCGGGCTTGGACCCTGTGCCTGTGACCGTAAGGTTGTCGGTTCAAATCCCGAGTTCTATAGTCTGATTTCACTGCTAGGCACATGAGCAAAGGCCATTAACCTGTCTCAAAATGAATGTGGCTTTTGATGAACACATCTGCTGAATTGGTTAAATTTATAGCCTTGGCTGAGGGAGCCTATTCATAAGGAAATTAGGATGTATCCTCACCCACATGGAGGTAGATTCAAAACCGGGGTGCTTTAGATCACTGGGCTGTCCTCGGAGAAGACCTCTTATCCACGTAAGCTAACATTCCCCCGTTAAGGAGCACCGTGTCGCTTGCTTTCGTCTGCCGAGTGCTACAGGAGCGGCTTCTGGAAGCGGCTTCAGAAGGAGAACGTGTACACTGGCTGGGTGCTGCCTTCTCAGCCATATGCATGACATTATTAATCCACTGCACCGGTGGATCTGGTTTTCATTAGAGCAAATTTTATACTCATTTTGTTTTTGAGAGGAAGACCAAAGAATGTCACAGGAGCCAGAGAGCCAGCCGGTGTAAAATTAGTTAGGCTGCCGCTGTTATTTTAGTCTCTTTGGATCAGAGTCATGCTGCATGCACGCTGGCACCGGCGCTTTGTTTGAATAAGGTTGCAGTCGTCAGCCTGACGTCTGTGTTCGGTTCCACGTTAAGCCTGAGGAACGTTTAGGATCTGTCTTTTTGGACGGATATCTTTCTGACTCCTGGCTGCTCTGCGACCGACTCCAAATGCTCAGACAAAAAAACTTGCTGAATTTGAGACGTGGCTTGGGGTCGACTCCCGGTTCCACATCATTTCTAAACAAACCCTAGAATGTAATGGTTCTTATTTAACCCGCGTGTTCAGTAACGTGAAAACCTTTTCCAGTTTTAGACAGAGTTGGTGAGAGTTCTGTGTGTGCACATGAACCTTAAGCTGCATCGGGACAGAGGAGAGTTGAGTCATTAACTGTTTTTAGAGAGCAATTTTGGTTCTTTTTGGTCAAATTTCAGTCATTGGTGCTCAATCTCATAACTCATAACTCTCAAACTCTCATAACTGGCTTGGTTATTTTATTTTTATAGAGAATTAAGAAACACACAGTCGCTCACTTTCACACACACAGAACAGAATAGTGATACTTTATTCATTCTTGTGGGGTCTTTTTGCCTCAGCCCTCTTGCTGTCTTACTCTCAGGTGAGAGTAAGCTTGGGGGTTACAATGCAGGGTTGACCAGTGTCCGGCCCCCTCCGGGAACATTTGGGGCTTAAGGACCTTGCTCATCGATCTGCTGGCCCTGGGATTTGAAGTGCTAACCTTCTGATCATGGGCACAGAATCCTAACCTGCTGACCCACAGCTCCCCCCCAATGGTGTGTGTATGTGAAGCGTGGACAGATCTGTACAAGCGCATGTGGGACTCTGTCTCACAAAACAGTGCAAGGAAGCTCTCCTGAAGGTTTACACAGCAAGCCAAGTAACTGCATCGGCAAGAAGCTGCACCAGACATGAGCAGACTTGAGGAAGGGAGACCGCATGGGTTTCCAAAAGAAGCTCAGCTGAGTAGCCATGTGAAGATCCCTCAAGCTGAAGCAGAAGAGGGCATCTGGAGAGGCCTGGACAGCTGCTGCACACATTTAGCAGATTCCATGTGGGAGGAAGCGGAAAAGATGGTTCATAGGAGATGAGCACTGTAAGCCATGGGAGATATATGTATATATATATATATATATAAACCTTGTATCAAGATATATATATATATATATATAAACCTTGTATCAAGATTCTGTTGTCTATAGGGTGAGGTACAACTTCTAGAACTTTCTTGAATGTACTTCGGTTCTCTCTCCCCTCCATGGGGTATAAAAGGAGTTTATGTGGCATGGCATGGCAGAAGATATGGACAGTACCATCTACCAAAATGTGACTACTGCTCAACCACTGCTGTACAAATGCAGCGTTGCAGAGGGGAAGTCTTTCGTAGAGAAATTTCTACGGATGTGGCAAATTGCATCTCACTGGGACTGTGTTTGATAGTCTGATGGAGCAGAGATTCAGTGGACAGCATGGTGTTTGCTGCAGTGAAGGTAAGCTGAGGTGGATCTCACTGTGGTTTGGAGCTGTATGTCTCCTTGTGCTGGTATCCTTATTGTGGGAATTGTGGGAATGATGAAGTCATGGTTTGGTCCAAAAATATTATACCTCCTCAAATGCGCAAATGGATATCCCAGAATGACATTGATCTGAAGCATGCACCAAAATATACAAAGCAATGGTTGAGTGAATATGAAGTCAACAGTCTCTGCAACCATCAGACCATAATCCAATCCAACTTTTGAGGTTTGAACTCAAGGAAACAGTTCACAGCCGAAAGGCGTAAAATCTGGAGAAGTTCTGAATGGAGGAACAGACTGAAATCCATTAGGGAAAGTGCTGACCCTGAGCAGAACAGACAGTATGGCGGTGAGGGTCGTAGGCCCAGCTTGACGGCCATCTGGCATACCAGGCTTTTCGCTAGTGGGCCGATGAGTATTGGACCCCCCTGGTCGACAGAATTTATTATGGGGTCCCCCACCGGTCACTCAGCTTTTCTTCCTGCCTCTAATCCCCCATCCAAAAAAATATATATTGGATTTCCCATGATGCCTCACTGTAACCATGGCAGCATGGGGCCTCTTTGCCCTCTTGAGGCAGGAATAGGTGTGTCAGTGGCTCAGCGTCTGTACGCCATCCTGTTGCATTCACTTCATCCGCTCTGTTCTCCTGAGGCTATCCTAGCCTGTCCGTGGCCCACCTTCTCATGAAGGTGAGGTGCAGCCATCCACTCCTGCAGTCCCCTCATTCCTGTAGCCAAGAAATGGGAGACAAATGTGATTTGCACAGTAAGTCCTGTGAAAAGCCGCCTCTGTCACTCGCTGTCTGTATGTCACACCGCTGTCCTGGGGGACATTATTTCATGCCGCTGTGTACCTGTATATGGACAGTATGACAATAATGCCCGTTTGGATTTCATCATGAAGGTGTGCTCTGAAACGGTATAAAAATTATAGAAATACATATGGCCTTACAGTAATGAAGAATATGTTCTCTCTCCTCTTCCTCCTTCACTTCTCCTTGCTGTCCTCCTCCTCACTCCCCACCCTCACCTTCTTTCAGACGAGCTGAAGCAGCTGTTGGAGCAGAGGAGGATGCAGAGGGCAGCCCAGGGTGAGTAGCCCGTGCTCAGATCCTCACACCGACCGCAGAGGTCACGCTGCCCTCACTGCCACCGCTGCAGGTTCACTTTGATCACAGTGAAGCCATTCCACCGCAGTGGCATTTGTGCTTAGTCAAGTAATCTGCCATCTTTTGGGAAAATAATGGCACAGATTTCACAAAAGGAGTCTTTGAACTTGCAGAACTGTGCCCCCTCCCTTCCCAGACAGGTACAGTGAAAACAGACCCCTGCTCTGGACATGCTATGCGATCCCTCTCTCCTGCTGAGAGCTGAGGCTCCCTATTTCCTTCTCTGTGGAGCTCATGTCTCCGTCTGCTGGAGCATCACTGAGAGCGGCATGTGTGACTTACAGCCTGAAGTGCTACCAGACCATAAAACGACTCGGTGGCCTGTCCATAGCTGCGTGACTGACGGGAGCAGCCTGGCAGGGCTTTGGGTTACCGGCATCTTTCCAGAGGCCATTAAATGGCGTGTGACCCAGAACCCAGTAGAGGAGCACGCATGCTGGACGGCAGCTCCGAGGCTGGTTTTGGAGGAAGGAGAAACTTTTATGATAAGAAGATGATGACCACGCCGTCTTGGTGGTGGGGAATGCATCATAGGGACTCAGGTCCTCTGAGGGGGGTTTCACCAAACCCTTCGACATAGTGCTGTCTTCCAAATGGTGATAAAGTGTGAGGGCGCGTGTGCCATTTCTGGAAGTGGGAGACGCTCCTGGCCTGTCTTGGATGTGCAGGGCGTCATGCCAGGACACCCTTGCGGTTTGGCGGCTTGCCAGCGCCCCCCCAGGCCCGCAGGACACCCAGAGCTTGCGCTGGTGTCAGCTTCAGTGCGGGAAGCTGCCAGCTATAATGATATTTTTGTGGAGAAAGCAAGACGCGTGGCAGGAACCCTTGAGCTGTCCTAACGAGAGAGGGAGCGGCCTGGGTTTTCACTAGGCCTGTAAACTCCTTAATGCGACTTCTCAGGAGAACAGCCACCCAAGATGGTGGGGGGGTGGGGGGGGGGAGTCTGCAGACATGTACACTGCGTAAACTCTGAACTGTGCTGTGTGCATGTGTCACTCAAGAGCTCTGCTGCAGTGGTGCCAATGCTAGCGTAGCGTTTGTCGCATGGAAAGTCAGGGACTGGTCTCCCATCCAGATGTGACACAGAAGATCCCACAGGGAATGTTTATTCACTGCCTGGGATTGCCAGTGATATGGTATTAATGCTTATGAGCCGCCCCCCTTTATTTATCCAGGATGTGTGGAGCAGAGAATGGGGTGTCTCTTTGACACCCCGAGGCTGGGACACTGGAATTCCGATTTTATTTGTGCCAGATCGGTGGGCGTCGCTGACGTGGCGTGGCCGCAGCTGGCAGTGTGCCACGCGACTCCGAGAGGTGGATTCCATGTCAATACCGTCAGCTGCAGTGACATAGTGAGAGCATACAAATTGTACACGAAACAACAAGTTGAACAAGAAAACCACACATTAGTGATATTGCAAGTGTTTTTATATATTTTCAAAAGTACATTTTTGACATTTTTTTGTATTGGTTGGTTTTCAGTGCAACTCTACCACTATGTTTCATGACTTTCCCTGATTTGCCGTGAGTCACATGATCAAATGCTTCTGAAGATACCATTATTGTACCAATGGAAGGAACATTTACCCTTGAGTGGTGAGGCGGGTGGATGTGATTGAGTTTGACCCTAGAGGGGGGGCACTGGTATGCATCATACTGCATTTGTGCCCCCTAGTGGTGATGGGAGGCCATGAAGCACCAGAGGAACCAGACCCCATTGAGGAGAAGCTCTGCAGACAAATTGAGGAAGAAAAGAAAAGGTAGAGTGCGTGTGTTTGTTGGTACATGTGAGTGGGGAGAGGGGGGGTCTTGCTCCGAGGGCCCATACACTACATTGGATGGCTCTCATCCTCGCTGCCTATTTGATTGGATGGCTCTCTTTCTTACTGCCTACTTGATTGGATGGCTCTCTTTCTTACTGCCTACTTGATTGGATGGCTCTCTTTCTTACTGCCTACTTGATTGGATGACTCTCCTCCTCACTGCCTACTTGATTGGATGGCTATCCTCCTCACTGCCTATTTGATTGGATGGCTCTCCTCCTCACTGCCTATTTGATTGGATGGCTCTCCTCCTCACTGCCTACTTAATTGGATGGCTCTCCTCCTCACTGCCTACTTAATTGGATGGCTCTCCTCCTCACTGCCTACTTGATTGGATGGCTTTCCTCCTCACTGCCTACTTAATTGGATGGCTCTCCCCCTCTTTCTGTTTCTCAGTTACAAGACAACCTTTAGCCGCCTGAAAGGGCTGAAGACTGAGATCGAGCACCTGCAGCTGCTGCTGGAGAGGGCGAAGGTCAAGCTGCAGAGGGACTTCAGCCAGTGGTGGGCCCGAGAAGAGGCCTGCTTACAGGTACTATTGCTGTCCAGAAGTCAGCCATGCCTCACCTCCCTCTTCTCCACTGGGTCACGCTGAAGCCCACCTCACTCTGCATAGTACATCTGAGGAGGAGCCTTTACTGGTGGATGGAATGATCTCTGAGATATACCTGAGATATTGCCCTCTAACCCTCTATGTGCAACAAGCCCAGGAATGGGATGGGAGGCAGTTACTTTGTGTGTGTGTGTGTGTGTGTGTGTGTGTGTGTGTGTGTGTGTGTGAGTGGGTTTACCTATCCTTATGGGGACATAATGTCCCCATAACGTGATAAATATCCATTTTTTTCCCTTATGGGGACCGGTTTCCTGGTCCCCATAAGGGAAAACTCTATTTTAGTTAGCGTTAGCATTTTTCCCATTGAAATGAATGAGCAGTCCCCATAAGGATATGTTTACCCTACATGTGTGTGTGTGTGTGTGTGTGTGTATGTGTGTAGGAGATCTAGCACTATGGCCTTCATTGAGCTGCTCTATAGTGACCTGTTGACTCGCTTGGGCCCTCACTGTCCTCCATCGCCAGGTTCTCCGTTAAGTCCCCAGTACCTGGCTTGGGATTCAGATGTAGGAGTTCATCTGATGGCACTAAACAGGCTCTGCCTCCGTGACACGGCATCACCTGACCCCTACGGGAAGGTTCTCTGTGCTTTGGGAGCTGTGGAATGAAAGCGAGGCAGGCGTCCAAAACGGTGCAATATCCTTTTTAAGATTGTTTTTAGGGCTCAGCAAAGGAGCCTTGCTGGATTAATAAAGTCGACCAATGGAGGAAACAGATTTTGCAGTGGGTCATCAAAGGCTAATGTTGCACCGGGGGGCACTAACGCCAGTGCAGGCCTGGGATTACCCCAGTCGTGGCGGCTCTGAAGTCTGCCGCGTCTAGTTGCGGCTTGGGCCCCAAGCTGCTCTCTGGTGCACTGCCGTGGGCTTTCTTCCTCAATCGATTCTGTCCTTGATCTGGGGGCCTCCTTCCACCTGAATCACTCCAGTCAGATTTCAGCTGGTGAGGAATGTTATCCTTGGAAGGGAAAGCCGCGGACAAGGGCCGCCAAATCATGAAACTTACCGGAAGCTTTGCTCCAGCCAAGAATATGTTGCAGCTGGTTGTTATTGTGATATGTTGGGGGGGGGGGGTGGTTAATGTGAGTCAAGCTACATCACATGACATGGTTAAAGATGGTGGCAGTCAGGTATTTTGCCAGCTAAGTCCCCTACACCCTTGCTGGGACAACGTCAGCGGTGCAGAGATGCGCTACCACGTGTTGCAAGGCACAGCCCGGCCCGACGCGATCTGCTCAGCTGCCGCCCAGATATCCCAGGTTACACAACAGTGTCTGACCCGTGATCCAGCTGCCAAAAGGCCCGGCATGAGTTTCTCAGTCGGAAATATTTACATCACTGGCAACCTGCATCAGATTGGGAAACCACATGGAGAGAGTGATTCTTCAATTTAAATTAAGAGCTTTTATTACATTTTATTTTTGGTTAAGGGGAACTTGTTGTGCAAGGTGCCGGTGAACCAGATGGCTGACATTAAGTGTGTGGAGACTGTGTGTATCCCAGTTGATGCTGAATGCTATTTACATGCCGCTTAAGGCCCAACACCTTGTCAGGCCATGTTAGGCGCAGGCTTTAGGGTGCTCACATACAGTATTAGTTTTCAAACGTGAACATTATTTGCCATTTGTTGAAGTATGAGAACAGGTACATTGGAACGCGATTTCCACTATTTCGCATTTCCCTTCTTGCTCTCCGTTTGAAAGACGTGAGTGTGAAGCCTGCAGTCTGAGCACAAGGTCAGCTATTTATCCAGCATCCCTGGAGCATTAACAGGGGACTAAGGGCCTTAACCAAGGGCCCAATGCAGGTGACTATTCTGCCAAGCATGGGACTCGATCAGAGGCACAGAGGCCAAGCTCACTGAGCCACACGGCACCCCTGTTCTGAATAGCCAGTGGGTTTTTGTGATTGTTCAGAGGTGTTCAGAGGTGGACACTCAGTCAGCCCGTGGGTATGTAAGTACTGAGCCCACATCTTCATAAACTCAGACTGTCCTTCATACAGACAGACAGGTCTCTGCCTTAGAGTGCAGCCTGATGCTGAAGTCCTCGGGGATGGCTGTGGGCCAAGGAGCAGGGGCCCAGGATCCCCACGGAAGCCCTGGAGTTAGGATACCCCTGCCGGACTGACTCTCATCTCCTTCTGGGGTCATGCTGCAGTTTTCGTAAATGCATTATACTGAAATCATTATATGTTATCTTTTTTCTAGTGATTGAGGGGCAAATGAGGACATTGTAAAGTGCAGATATTAACTGTGCTACACTCCCCAGGAGCCAGAGCCAGAGTCAGAGGACACCGCTGCAGGCCAGAGTTTAGGGCAGCATGACCAGTGGGGGGCACCGTCCTCCACTGCGCTCCCCCCAGCAAGGTGAGTGCCCTCTGGTGGTTTCAGGAAGGCACGACAGCATGTTTTTTGGTGTTCCTGTCCATTTGCGTGGCCCACGTTCGGCTAGAAAAGCTGCTAGCGCTGCGGTTTTCCTGATCCGTGAGCCGCTTCCAAACGACATTCGGCCAAAGACGACTGGCTCTTGTCAGCCTCCAGGAAACTCACGTCCTCCATCCAGATCGAACTTGGGCTCCACTCTCCGCATGCAGCTTTGACTCGACGTGTTACCTGGGGGAGCAGGGAGAGGATGGGCTGCATTAAGCAGAAGGCAGAGGCAGGAGCCGGGAGCTGCTGCAGGTCCTGGAGGTCCACTGGCCCGGCTGGGACCGCTGTGGCTGTGCTATAAGGTGTTCCCACACTGAGAGGCTTACAGGGTGAATCAAAGATGGCAGGAGACTCTTCTGCTAAAGACAGTGTCAGCATAATAATGTAGTTTTGAATGGGTCACCATAACTTGGCTGGAAGTACAACTGCTGTGTTAAATGGAAGCCAGCATTTACACAGTCTACATTATTCTTACTCCTCACTGCCTCAGTGGCGTCTTGCTGCCCCCCCCCCCACCCCCGCACACCTGCTGTTATGGTGACAGGGCTGAAGTCTGCTTTGGTTCATAGCCCTAAACACATGACCTGAAAAGACCCCCTCTCCCCCGTTTCCATCACCTCCTCCCCTCCCCATATCCTTTCCTCATCTGTAATCTCGGTGCTTTGTTGCCCTTCAGTGGCCAGAATGTGGTACTGTTCCTAGTGGGAAAGGGGTTCATTACCAGTTGTAAATTATGTATTGAATAAATGCTAATAATAATAAAAGAAAACTTTAATCTTAAGGTGCCATTGAAGTAAATCTTATTAAAATGTTCAGTCTTCCGGTCAAACACCCTTGACTTTTTCTCTAACCATTGCTCACTGGCAGCAGCCGTCGAAAGCCGTCACGTTCCGTGTTCAGCTGAAGTTAACATCAGTACTGTCCTGTGTTGTGGTTCTCTGTGTCCGAACAAAGTAGCGTGTCATCATGGCCAGACCATGACAGCAGCGCCCTCTCAGCTCCCTACTGCGCCCCCTGCTGGCTAAATCAGGCTGGGACTAAAGGAGACCTTGCCCAGTTGGTTACACATGGCATTCGAAAACAGTATGTACACATGCCCCTCCCACTGCTGCCACTGTTTCATAGAATGAAGATGTGTTTACCACAGCTGAGCTATCTGGCCATGTTAACCAAGTAGCTGCAATTCTAAAGAAACAGTCGACACACAGGAACAGCTTGAGTGGACGGGCCACGGAGGTTCTGAGAGGAGGTTCTGAGAGGAGGTTCTGGACAGCCACACCAGCTGTTTCCCATGTGACTGATCTATTTTTCTGTGATGTCAAAAGTTTAAATCTTCTAATTTGTCATCCACTGGGTAACCCAGGAGCGTCACCCCAACTCGATCTGCGGCCACCAGCCACGCACTGGGCAGCCGAGACCCCACACCACTGTCCCAGCTGAGGTAAGGGGGCCACCTGCATGGAATTGTGGGTAAAAACAAAGGCATGCTGTGAATTACACACTGCGCTGTGATTCCCTTGCACTGCATGACAGAGATGATTGCATCGCAGTGTTTTGGCTGTAGACCTTTGCCAGCTCAACATTCATTATCACCTTCTGACTTTTATTCTCACCGCTTCAGTCAGGTTGGAATCTGCTAAAATTTCAAAGGGAATTCTAGGTGAACTATTTTTAAAATGTTATTTCTGCATATGAAGACAAACACTGAGAGGTAGTTGAGCATTTTATAGTGCTTTAGGCATAGCAGAGCATCCACCATGAACATACAGGCTGTGGAATGATTCTGAAATGTTAAAGCCCTTGTGAGATGCCAACAAGGCTGCTGATAAGTAAAGCTAATTTCAGGAAGAATGTTCTCAAGATGAGCCCTGCATAAGTGGCAATGGGATTCCATTTTAAGAGTATTAAAAAAATGGCCTTTGTTATGGCTGTGTTACTGTTATCTGGAAGCAGGGTGTGTCTCTCCTCCATTTCACTTCCAGCTAGACTGAGTTCCTCTGTGAGTGAGTATGTAATTCAGTGCCTATCAGTGAGTGTGTAGCTTTGAATGTGTCAGTGAGTGTTATTCTGTGCCTGTCAGTGAGAGTGTTATTCTGTTCCTGTCAGTGAGAGTGTTATTCTGTGCCTGTCAGTGAGAGTGTTATTCTGTTCCTGTCAGTGAGAGTGTTATTCTGCGCCTGTCAGTGAGAGTGTTATTCTGTGCCTGTCAGTGAGAGTGTTATTCTGTTCCTGTCAGTGAGAGTGTTATT